ACAGCGTCTAGGTTCCCATGGTCATAGGGCAAGCATATAAAGCTGAGCTAAAGTTTCAATTAGCAGTGAAGGAAATCTCAGTAATACCACCACGGTGCGTCGACTCGACATATCGTTTAAGTTGCAAAACATAGAAAGATCAGAGACAAAAACCATAAATAAAGAGAACCCAGTAACAATGGAAGTATATATTATTTATACTTTGACCCATTGGAAAAGGAAACACTACTTCTGAATCGAGATAATGCTAACGTACCTGTGACGACAGCAGATTCATGGAGCTATTCAAAACTTCGGTCGACAAAGTAGTCGAAGCTTACCCAAAAGCTCACCTGAAAGTAGTTGCAATATCAGACCGAGCGAAAATCCTGAATAGAGTTCAGTCCAAGCATACCCGAACACAGCCGGAAAGTGCTGCTGAGTCTTCTTCTCAATAATGGAACCCTACATGAACGAAAGACACAAGATCACGCGGGAAGGAAAGAACGAAAAAAGTTATTTTCTAGCTGTCGAAATCTCGACGCCATCTTTGTTGTAAGAAGTAAACAACGAAGAGAACGGAGAAAACCGCGAAATTGTTGAACGCATGAAAAATCATTTTTATTATGCAAATTCTTCTAAAAATCATGCCGTTGTGTTAAATTATTCTTATGTGTACACACGTTGTCACAAGCGAAAATGAAGAAAATTGCAGTAAAAAGCCACCACCAAATTGTAAACAACGAAGAAATGTAAACAAACGGCTAATGTCAAAATCGTTCAACTTTTTTCCTTAATGCGATTCTAACGGGCTACTCTCCTGCCCGCGTGATCTTGTCTTTTTGGTTCACGGGAACCCTAGACATTCTGGTGACTAGCGGAAACAAATTCAACTACGGCTTCGGGAAAATTACCCTCAAAACCTAAGACCAGGGGTGGATACACCGTACGATTGCCTTAGAAGAAAATGTGCAACACGTTTTGTGTCATAAACTGGCTTTATGTAGAAGAAACTTGCGCACGCATTGCAAGCCATTGCAGAGATCTCACACGTGAAATATAGCCTTAGCAAAGCTTATAGCGTCGAGGAGCGTGAGTTTTAGCCTAATGGCCATTTTAATATCGAAAGGTTACATAAGGTTAGTCTTGCAGCCACTTATGAACGGTAGGTTCTTAACATTGCCAATTGGAGTTCGATTTTAGGCGAAGACATGACAAAGGATGTCAACGCTTTTTTCGAATTTCAGTACTAATTTCAGCTTATTTTTCTGAGATGTCTTCTAACTTCTCGAATTAATAGGGTCCCTAAGCATTTAAGTCGTGTTTTTGACAGGGCATGACATCGGCATAGAAGACGTGCTAATCTTTCCCTAGTCTCCCGCTCACGTCACTTCTTGCAACAGTCCACGTTCGTGATATCAATTCTTTGTGCATAACCATCCACCAGTATATGATCCATAAGCCAGCCAGATAGTTTACTTTAGCACCTAATTTTTGCAGTTTTGCAGGTGGTTAACGCATTCCAGCTAGTCTTAAACTGACTAATCATGCTGTCGTCTGTTTCGTTATAGAAGTATTGGAGTACCCTATGCATATAGTTTGACAGTGACCCTTTATTCCTTTGTGGTCGGACACAAAATAGATATGCAGCCTTCTGTTTGCGTCCAGCCTCTCTATGCCTTTCATTCCTTTAGGAAAACTGTGTTGCTCTTACCTTCCTTGGGTATAAAAAAAACTCAATTCTCTCCACACTACCGGCCCATAGGCTAATCGCAACCAATCCAAAACAATAGCCTTCAGCTGTGATATCACCAGGTGACTAGCCTTCTGGAGATTCTGTCTGCTCCCGGGGATTTGTAAGGCTCAAAGCTTTGGGTGAAGTTATAATGTTTGGTGGAAGGGCTACCCGTTATACCTCTACCACTATCGAGGACGGTCTAGTCCACACATCCCGGAAATTCGACGAGAATACGGCGAGGTCTTCCAGCGACCCCTCGCGTAAATTCGTCCAATCCCCGACCCTCTTATTTGCATAAAAGTAGGCGTGCTTTGAATCTTCGTTAGGAGTTTCCTAAGCCTGGCCACCTTGTTTATTTCCTCCAAGTTACCACAGAAGTCCCCCCCCCCTCTTCTTCGTACTTCTCTTTTATACGGTTTAAGTCATTCATTATCGGCTACTTCGGCCAATTTGAAGCTTTCTAGCACTTCGTGTTTTTGTGTGGTTACCCCTTAGTCAAGTTCAACCTTTATGTTGTACCTGCGCGGCTTAACCTTCATATCGTCTAATATTTTCCTACAGCGTTCCCAATTATTATTTCTAGGATTTAGCTCTTTTGGGAAAGATCAAAATGTCGGAGCTTCGATACATATGTATGTAGGTATGACTATCAAGAGAAAGAACTTTAATAAGGCTTAAAACCGCACAAATTTTTCTGGAAGGTTTCCACCTGTTTGAAAATTTTAATTAAATTAATAAGATAAATTAAATATTCCAATATGGGTATCGAACTAGAGAGGTGTAGGAAAGTTCACCGCGGAAAATATTTTTGAGGGGGGGCCAGCTGTTCGAAAAATGTTATTCATTTAAATTGATAAAATAAATAAAATATTACAATACTGGTGCCAAAGAACGTAAATGTATAAGAAGAGACAACTCGCTAAAGTCGGCGATTGAAGTCTGAAAGGTTGAGAAGAGGAGTTCGCGTCCGTTTTAATATCCATTTTCGTAAATGAATTTGCCGCACATTTGGTTTCGCGGCGAGAATGCGAAAGTTAACTGTAAAATGTAAACGAAATGATGAATGAAAGACAAAGATCAAAACATGGCCGAACTGTTTGATAATTAGGATGCGCACGCACGTTCATTTATATTTCAAATTTACTTGATGTTATTTTAAACATAAGTAAATCAAATATGTATTTAAATGAACCATAAAAACACAATTTCCATGACTCTTGACTTGTTCCACGGCTATGTATGTATATTTTTACGCCTTGGCAAGGGTTTATAAATAAAAATAAAAATAAGTTTTAATATATAACACATTTTAAATCAATAAATAATTACTATTACTAATTTGTACAAATATACACATGCGATTCCTCTCCAACATATTTATATACATGCATAGATGCATATTAGAGTCCAGCGCAAGTGTATTTGCCGCATTTCGTTCAATAAGTACTCCTTGCATTGTACTCTACTCCCAACACATTGGTACTTTTTTTCCGCATACATACACTACTTGGCGTTGAGAGAGTAAATACTTGACGTACTTGCTATTACTCCACCAAAGTACGTACTCTACTTTCCCTCATCGCGTACGAGAGATATTTGCTGCTGCCAAAAGGGAGTAGCAAATCTACTCTCTGTATACTTGTAGTACGGTAAGTACTTGCGTATTAAATTTCAATTCTGGTTGTTAGCCTACTAGTTGATATCGTTTGCAGCGCTGGTCAGTGAAATTGAAAGAGTAAAAATAGAATATGGAAATTGACGATGTAAGGAAATGTTTACGGCCTTATTTATAAAAAATAACGTAGATTTAGACAGTTGTTTAATGTGACATTTTCATAAAACTTTTGTATTCACGCAGCTTTTTAAATCTATGTATGTACTTATATTTTTATGAAAGTATTATTTCTCGTTTCTGATTTTCTATAAAACTATGTGCAGTCTTTAACCAACAAATAAGTTGTCAAAAACAACAACTGCTATACGAAATAAAATTATTAGTGGCAAATCAAAATTTTGATAAGTGCCGACTTTCACATTCTATAGTTGGACATGGTAGCGACGAGATGTACGAGTATTTATTTCTTAAGAGCTGCATACTGATTTAAGAAATTTTTTATAGAAGCAAATTTATTTTCCATTTATTTTGCGTAATTTTATATGAATTTTTAGTTTTTCTTGAGAGCCTTTACAAATATAAAAAAAATTTCGAAATATGTATATATGTACATACATACGCAGCCATATAACTTGATTTCAAGAGAAACGAATTTTCATTGGGTACGTTCAGAAGGCGCAACAGCTCTGTAACTGGTGCGATTGCACCTTCTGAACGCATTGTTGCGTACTTCTGATAAACTGAATAGTTGCGTGTTAGATGATCGTAATATTTTTCTGATCATTTGAGACAACATGTTGGTGTGTACCTTTGAGAGTTGAATTTGACAGCTAATGTATGAATCTATGAATGAATCATTCATTCTTCATTAGCGGCGATCGGATGTCTTGTTAGGCCCTTTAAATGGAATTGCGCAGGAGTTTAATACATATGTACTTACCCACGCATACGTATGTAAGTATGTATTTACATACATATGTGACAAAAATACTACAAACCAACTTCATTTACAAACGCATATTTTCAAGGCTAAGCTCATTCATTCATAAATTCGAAAGTCGCACATCTTTCCGCAAGCCTTCAAACGCAACTTCTTCGCGACGAAGACAAAAATTGTAAATTGAAGAAATCACAGCTAGCCAAAGGAAAAGTTGCAACTCCGCAGTAATGTCAGTGGATATTTGCAAGAATAACTTATATCGAGCTTAGCCATTTTTTTCTTAAAACGTCTCAATTGATGTACTCCTTCCAAATATTAAATTGTCAACTAGTTATTGCAGATTTTATTTTAATAAAAATCAAAATAAACACACATTTTTCGAATAAATTGTCTTTAATTTTCAATCTTAAATGAAAACTTCTAAAATTACATACTAGGGCTGTGCGATTATTCGATTACTCGAGCAAGTTGGTTAATCAATTATTCGGTTAATCAATTACTCGAGTAATCAAGATTTTTATTACTCAAAACGATGATTAATCGAGTTACTTGAAATATGATTACTCAAAAAAATAATTTTGCTCGTTAAAAGAGTTTGCTTTGGAAAATGCTTATTTTCTTTTTTACATTCTGTTTATGAAAAAAAATTTTCGTTTTAATTTTTGAAAACAGAAACGTTGTTTTCAAAGTATCAAGGAACTTTAACTACTTTATATATATGTAAAGAGTTGAAATGTTAATTACTCATTTTACTCGAAATGTTGATTAATCATAAAGCAAATTACTCAAATATTTTTGTTTTTGGTTAATCACAAATCTTGATTACTCGAGTAACTGAACTTTTGAGTAATCATAACTTCTAATTAATCGAATAACTGAGTTATTTACTTTATGATTAATTAAAATTTTGAGTAATCAATTAATCGCACAGCCCTATTACATACATAAGTGGTTTTTTCATATATGTAATTTGGCAACACAGACTGCCTTCATGAGTTTCGATCATAAATTGTACAATTTTTGTCAATCGGCGATCATGATTTCTGTACGGGGGGAGAGGGAAAGACGGAGGCAGCTGATGATTTACATACATATGTGTATACAGATATATGTACATTTACATTTCGTAAAAGATTGTCGTAAGCGTCATACGTACGTGCGTAACATACGACAATCTTTTACCCAGGCGACGGTTTATAAAAACATACCTATATGTCAAGAATGATAGAATACAAGATTGCGCCGATTGCAGCAGAATTCGTGAGAGTAATTTTAGCGTGACGTCATCGTAGAGTTGACAACTGAGAGCGGCGAGAATGAGGGCGACTAGTGATGTGCTGNTCTATTGGCTCTTACATTCGGGTTTTGTTAGGCGTTTTTTCCATATTTTTGGCCTATGTGCGCTTTTATTCGAAACCTAAATGTTTCGGTACCGAGTATCGAGAGTATTGGGTACTTAAAAGTATTGACTCAGCACATCACTAGTGCTGTCTTCTCTACTATGACGTCACCAAAACAGCTGATTCTGTCAAAATCACTGAGAGCCGAGTAGCGGTATCGTCATCGGCGCCACCACTGTATTCTCTCCGCCGTGCCTATATGTATACACGTTTATTTATGGTATGATTATACGAAAATTTAAAAATATTCCTGACCGATGAAAATAAAGTGTATAAACACCACTTTTGCGCACCTATTTAAATAAATAATGGGTAATGATTTCCTGATGAGCACAAAACATAAGCACACTCATATATAAATGCGTAGATTAATATTTTACTATTGCATTTTATATATAAAAGTACACTGGTTTTGTTTATAATAAAAATCACTTTTGTCTATAGACACCAAAAACACTTTCTTGTCAACAACCGGCAAACTGCACAAACGTATGTATGTGTATGTAAATGGTTTTTTCAGACACTTTTGATTATTAAAATGGACACTTGTATACATATAGTCTGTTCCTTTGAACTTCGGACTAAAACCTGTGGAACTGTCAAACTACAATTTTACGCTCTCAAATGAGAGTAAAAGGAGAACAGATGCAGAAGTGCATAGGAACGCAAAAAGCACTATTTCCTGTAAAAACGTCAGACGGTTTGTTTACATGTCATTGGTACTACTCTGGTTTGGCTGAAATATCACTAAATAATTATTAAAATCTATACATATTCAAATATTTCGTCGTTTACTTCCATTTTTGAACAAATATAAGGTTCTTTGCTTTCACCGCTTTCTGTTTTTGTTTGCACATGTAAATCAGCTGATCGTTTGACACTTTTCATGAACTTACAGGAAAAAAACTCCGGACTAAATCCTGTAACTTCTGACTAGGAACAGTTGCTCAGTTACTCTCTCAAATGTGTTCCCACTTACAGGTTTTATGTCAATAGGAACGACTTCGTGTAAGTTCTGACTAAATCCTGTAAACCGGACTGCTATTGGAACAGACTAATAAACACCTCAGTATTTTTAATTAATCTGCATCTGTTCTCATTTTACTCTCATTTGAGAGCGTAAAATTGTAGTTTGACAGTTCCACAGGTTTTAGTCCGAAGTTCAAAGGAACAGACTAAATATTTTCACAGAATATTATTTACATATGTTACTACATTATTTATATGTATGTATGTATATCGTCGTTTANTCAGTTACACGGTTTTGCAGAATGACGATACGCGGTTTTGTACTTTAAACGAGGATATATATACATATATTATTTGAGTACATATGTATTAAAAACGAAAAGCAATTGAATTGAATCATTTTAAATAAATTTTGTATATACAAATAACTGAGCGAATTAATATGTATTTAACAAAAATTATGGAAAACCTGAAATGAAATAATAACAAAAAGAAACCAGAAATAAAAAATAATGAGTCCTCGAACTAAATGAAAATATAAAATAATAATTAAAAAAGTGAATTACATGCATTAAAAAAGGTTAATCTTCTTCTTCTTATATGGCGCTGTAACCGCCTAAGCGATTTTGGCCGAGTCCAAAACAGCACGCCAGTCATTTCTCTTCTGTGCTAACTGACGCCAATTGTAAATGCCAAGTGAAGCCAAGTCCTTCTCCACCTGGTCTTTCCAACGCAGAGGAGACCTTCCTCTTCCTCTGTTACCAGCATCGCGGCCCGCGTTGAATATTTTCAGAGCAGGAGCGTTTCTGTCCATCCGAACGACATGGCCAAGCCAGCGGAGCCGCTGAATTTTAATTCGCTGCACTATGTCTATATCGTTGTAAAGCTCATACAGCTCATCGTTAAATCGTCTGCGATATTCGCCATCACCAACGCGTAAAGGTCCGTAAATCTTTCGCAGAATCTTTCTCTCGAAAACTC